TATTCTCTAAATAATGAAAAAAGAATAAGATAAGACTATAAGAGCGAGAAGCAATTTAAATATGTTCAGGGACCATTTTCATCTCCAGAATTAAGGATTATTTTGATGTTACATCATTGCCTTTTCTCTTTTACTTTCCTTTTTAGTTTTATTTTAGGATTCCCTATTTTTAATGTTCATACAGAGATTTCTTTAACTGAAATACCGAATAGTTTCTTTGGTGTGAAAAACTACAATAGTACACAGGATCCTAATGAGATAATTAATAATGTGAAATAGGAAGTAAAGGGCTAAAGGTGTAGGGAAAGTGGGAAGGGTGGGGGAAAGGTAATAAGGGAGAGGAACAAAATATGAGAAACTGAAAAAATGGAAATAAAGTGTTTGTAAATGGGGAGGGGAGGAGGGGGTGAAGGGAGGGCAGGGACAAGGGGAAAAATGAGAATCAAGACCTATTATGTAAAGGTACAGAATCCCAATGATGAATGTAATTGTATTGTATACCTAGATTGTACCAATAACCTCAATAAAAAGAAAAAAAAAAAGATATGTGTATACGACAATTCCCCAAGGTGAGTGTATTCATTATATATTGCAAACATGTACTAATTTTTAAAAGAACAAAAAATAAGAGGGCTGAGGATGTAGCTCAGTGCAAAGGCCCTGGGTTCAATCTGCAGTACTGCCCAAACACCAAACAGGTGGAGCTCGCCACCTGCCTTCAGCTTTCTGCACGCGCACCTACCTGGAGAGCCGACGCCTCTGCAAAGCCACTTTCCTCCCGACACCTGCTGTCCCGAGCAACCTTCTGCTGTTTGGCGTCCAGCATTGCAAGGGCTTCCAAGTACTGCTGGTTCAAAACTAGGCAGGGCCAGCCGCGAAAGGGTTATTGGGTCTGAGGCCTAACCGCGGCCTCCTCTACCCAGTTACACCTGCACCGTATTCCCATTAATCCCAAGCGATGAATGCATTACGGTCTCTACCCTCAAGATCAAGCTGCACACAGCCTACCTGATCAACAGTGAGTGTTATGGGAGCAACGGGATGTAACCCTAGAAAGCCCAGGCATTAGCTGGGTGCTACACCATCCCCAGCCATTTCTGCTTTTTTAATTTTGAGACATGGTCTTGGCTGAGTCACTAAATTGCCCAGCTGGGCTCAAATTTGCCTTCCTTCTGCCTCAGCAGCTTCTCAAAGTGCAAGGAATATAGACACTGGCCTCTGTCCCAGGCAAGGCGTTCTCTTCCCTTGGGAAGCATCCCAACTCTGCTTCCCAAGTCTGCTCCTGCTCTTGGTTCATCTGCAGGAGTTTCAGAAAGGGACCACATGGGGTCAACCACCCAGAGACCCCGCAGACGGTAAGGCCTAGGCAGTGCTCCCAGCACTGTGCTCCCACAGCTGCACCAGCTCCCCAGGTTCCAGGAGACAAGCCACGTGCTGAGGAAGAGGCCCTGCTATCTTCGGGGAAGAGCAACCCTAGCTTCTCCTTGCTGCAGGTCAGAGAGCAGGAAGAGGGTGGGGTGTGTCCTGAGCGCACCCACAAGGTGACAGCCCTGGGTGCTGAGGCAGCCTCTGGGCCTGCTGACTAATCTCATCTGGAAGCATAAAAGGCCTCAGCCCTGGCCAATCTGAGGCTTGTTTGGTCCCTTTAAACCACCATTTGCCTTCTGTTAGGGAGGGAAAATTAGCGTCCTCTCTTAAAAATGTGTAAAAATATAGTCAGACGTAGTGGTGCATGCCTGTAATCCCCACCATTTGGGAGGCTGAGGCAGGAGGATTGCTTCAAGTTTGACGCCAGCCTGGGCTACATAGTGAGGTCAACGCAATCTGAACTACGTAGTGAGACCCTGTCTCAAACTTTTTTTTCTTTTTGTAAAATGTTACCAGCAAACACCTTAATATGCTCCCACCAACTTCCATCGTGAGACAGTTCATTATATATGCAATATTTAGTATAGAAATCATAGTGCATGTCCCTATATTCACACACATACATGTATGTGTGAGGTCTGTGTATGCAGAGAATCTCTACTTAAATTCCTCAAGCACCACGCTGTACCATTCTGCTTTACATGCAAACTAAGTGAGAAAGGGAAACGGGCAGCAAGTGCATAATGCGTGTGAGCTTTTACTTCAGCATGATGGAAACCTTTTGGAAGGAATGGCGCTTACACTGCTACCAGTGCCGCTAAAGTATTCGCTTGTTTGTTTCATCTTGAGACAGATTCTCACTGTGATCCTCCTGCCTCAGCCTCACGGCCACTGAACTGTCACTTTTAAATGTTAATTTTATGTTGTGTGGATAAATCCTTTAAACTGAAAAAAACCTAAATGAAGATGAGTATAGTGGTGCTTGTCTGTAATCACAGCTCTGTGGAAGGCTGAACCGGGAAGGTCACAACTTCAAGCCCAACCTGGGCAACTTACAGACTTAGTAAGACTTTGTCTCAAAATTAAAAAAAAAAATTCTTAAAAGGGGTAGGGATGTAGATCAGTGTGAAGTTCCTTACCTTCATTTTCAGACTTCAGCATCCTAATTTCTTCTGTTTTCACTTTCAAATTCTCTTTGAGAACTGCATTTTCAGCGTTTAGTCTGGAAAAAAGCACCTTCCAAATAACTACATTAGCACTTCCTCACTGAGAGAGAATATTTTTATTTCCATTTTTAAAACACAAAAATATAAATATAATTTTGCTTACTTCAAGACAGTCTAGAATTTACATGTGTCACAAAATTAAAACAATGTAAAGGAATGTGGTAAGATTTCAAACTCTTAACCTTTCTGTATGCTTAGTTGAGAAATAATCAGAATCAGACATATTTCTAAGGCAACTATTTTGCATATTCATTCTGTTTAATAAAGTTTTCACTGAAAAATGCAAAACAAAACAAAATTTTTTTGTTTTGTTTTTTTTTGAGACAGGGTCTCACTATGTAGTTGAGACTGACCTGGAACTCACTATGTAGCCCAGTCTGGTCTTGAACTCACAGCGATCCTCCTGCCTCAGCCTCCTGAGTGCTGGGATTACAGGTTTGGGTCACCAGAAAATTTTTAATTCAAATTAATAATCATTTAAGATGGTGTGGTGGTACACGCCTGTGATCCCAACACTCAGGAAGCTGAGGCTGGAGGATCATCACGAGTTTAAAGCCAGATGGGCAACATACAGAATTTAAGGCCAACCTGGACTACCAAGCAAGACCCTGTCTTGAAAAACAAAACAAACAATAAAAGAAATAACATCAAGAATCAACGAACAGGGCCAGGGATTTAGCTCAGTGGTCCACTGCCTGCCTCACAAGCCCAAAGACCTGAGTTCAATTCCCCGTACCAAAAAAAAAACAAAATCAATAAACAGGATTATATAAAATTAAAAGGCTTCTGTGCAGCAAGGAAACAACCAAGAGTGAAGAAATAACCTATAGTATGGGAACATTTTTTGCCAGCTACTCCTCAGAAGTCTAACATCTAGAATATATAACAAGCCAGGCATGGTAGTGCCTGTAATCCCAGTCGGGAGGCTGATACAGCAGGATCACCATGAGTTCAAGACCAGCCTAGGCTACATAGTGAATTCAAGGTCAGCCTGAACTACATAGCAAGACCTTATTTCAAAAACCTAATTAAAAAAAAAAGGTAAAAGAAACTGAAGCAGGATGCTACATGCCTGTAATCCCAGCTACTTAGGAAGTTGAGGCAGGAGGATCAAAAATTCAAGCCCAGGGCCAGCGATTTAGCTCAGTTGTTCCACCACCTGCCTTGTAAGCACAAGGCTCCAAGTTCAATCCCCAGTACAAAAAAAAAAAAAAAAATTCAAACCCTGCCTAGGCAATTTAGTGAGACCCTATCTCAAAATATTTTCTGTGTGGGAGTGCTGGTGCACCCTTGTAATCCCAGCACTTGAGAGGCTGAAGCAGGAGGATTGCCATGAGTTGGACGCCAGCCTGGGCTACCTAATAAAGTCAAAGCCAGCCTGAACTATATAGCGAGATTCTGTCTCAAAAATATATATTTTTTTTAATGGGCCAGGGATTTAGCTCAGTGGTTCCACCACCTGCTTCACAGGTGCAAGGCCCTGAGATCAATCCCCAGTACTAATAAAAAAATACATATTTTTTGTTTGTTTGTTTGTTTGTTTGTTTTTGAGACACGGTCTTACTATGTAGTTGAAGATGGCCTTGAGCTCACTATATAGCTAGGTTGGCCTCAAACTCACAGTGATCCTCCTGCCTCAGCCTCCCGAGTACTGGGATTACAGGTGTGTGCAACCACACCCAGCGGTAACAGATTAATTTCTAAATAACTGCCTTTCTAGTAAAATATAAAGTTATTAAATAAACACTAATAAAAGAGTTGCTCAAAGATGTTTTTGAAAAAGTTTCAATGCCAAAATCATTTTGAAAACATTTCTCTTACATTGTATTAAATTAATATATACTTTAGGGCCAGGGATTTTGCTCAGTGGCACCCAGCCTGCCTCTCAAGTGCAAGGTCCTGAGTTTGATCCCTGGTACCAAAAAAAAAAAATTATTTTCTTTAAATAAAAATATGGAGAGGCTGAGGCAGGAGGATTGCTGTAAGTTTGAGACTAGCCTGGGCTACATAGTGAGTTCCAGGTCAGTCTCAACTACACAGTGAGAGCCTGAGTCAAAAAACCAAAAAAAAAAAAAAATATGGAGGGCCTGGGATTCAACTCAGTGGTGCTGCCACCTGCCTCACAAGCACAAGGTCCTGAGTTCAATCCCCATACCAAAAAATAAATAAATAAATAAATAAAAATACGGAACTAGTAATAAGCAGTAAGAATTTTATAATATTTCATTGAACTCAAAGCAGGAAGCTTAAACGACATCTGAATTACCTGCATGTTAAAGAGTTTCAAGGAAAATTATGGAATAACAAACCAACCCGAGCGGGAAGAGCGCTTGCCTATCATGTGTGAGGTCCTGGGTTTGATCATCAGCAGAAGGTAATAAATAGAATAAAAACAATATGCAAACCTGTCATATTTTTGAGTCCAAGATTCCTCTATGTTTTTAAATCTATTCTGATCAAATTCTATTTCCCACTGCAAGGCATTTATTTCCTAAGGAAAGAAAATCACACATTCATGGAAAATTACTAAAAATAAATTATTTCAGGGTACTGTAAACAGGTAAAGTAAATCATAGTCATTTCACAAAAAAGGTTTAAAGAGAAATAATGATCACTCAGAGTCCATGACATTTGTTAACACATGTGACATGCCTGTTATCACTCAAAAAAAACTCTTCCCAAAGCTCACTATAAAAACATTTCCAACTGTTTGAATTCAAAATTTGCTGGAATGAAGCCGGCTTCCTCAGCACCCACTGCTGCCCCAGGTAGTCACCAGGAGCAGCCTTCACTCTCAGAAGTCTCAGCCCGGGAGGCCCAGGAGGGGAGGACATCGCAGACAGCGGAAGTGACCACTGGGGCCAGCTCCTGACTTCCTTTCCAGTGTGCTGGAGTCGGGGGATGCAGACCGTGCCAGAAGCACAGGCAGGAAAACAGAATGACAACAGGAAGTATGGCTTCAGTAGGCCACCTGCTGCCATAAATGAAGGAAAGTAACTCATTCCCCACAAGACAATCTGTCCTGATGGCTGCTACAGAGAGGCCACCACATATAGAGCGAAGGACACATCTACCAGTGTGGGGCGTTGGACAAACTGCTACTTATATCCCACTGGACTGAACAAATCTACGCTAAGAGTGCAAATACCTTCTCCAACAATCTCTTTTGTTCTACAGTTTTCTGAAGCACCGCCTGTGTGTGGCTTGTGGCTTTCCCAAGGACTGCCTAGGAGAAAGAAAAATAGCATCTGTGTAGATCACATTTCTGATCATGCCTGTGATACACAGTGAGGTTCGTCTTTTCATTTTAAGATAACAAAATTAACCTGAGAAGGAGAGGTTTGTTTTTTTTTTGTACTGGGGATCGAACTCAGGACCTAGTGCTTGTGAGGCAGGCGGCGGAACCACTGAGCTAAATCCCCGGCCCTGTGGAGAGTTTAATAGCTCAAGCTCAGAGGATCTTGGTTTGGCTCTTTTCTGTTGAATGTAAGTGTTACGGAAGGAATCAGTAAGTGACACACAGAGAGTGAGCAGAATGGAAGTAAAATAACACATTTACTCATCGATAAGGGTCGATCGCGCATAAGCCATGCCTGGATCGACGATGCACTGGGTTACAACTCCTCCTTTTATGGGGTTTCACAGCCTTGACTTCATTTGGGTGGTTACATTTCATTCTCACAGTTCAAATCATAGTCACAGAATAGCTAATCTTTTCAACCCAGATGTAACAGTTCTTTGCAGTTGGGGAGTTTAACTCTAAGAGTCGCCTAGTTATCTATTCTAGTCCATAGGGAGGGGGGGCGTTCAGGGTCAGGGGAGAAAATGTTAGCAATGGATTCTTTCATTTAGACACTTTTATGATCATGTGGCTCCATTCTCTTCGGAGCTCAAGACCTTCGGAGCTGTGCCCTGTTATCTCAGGTAAGACCAAATGCCTCATTCAGTGATTAGTGCCTTCCATGCCTATTAGTTTTGAGCTAAAACAAAGCAAACTGCTGTTAGAGGCAGCAGAAACCACTTTACACTGTAACACTTCATAGGTTTTTGCTATTTATAAAAGTTTTCCCTATCATAAGCATGAAAGAATGAGTTTTCCATACAAGAAAATGTACACAACACAATTATTTGTCATAGTCACAAAGATGAAACAACTCAAATGTTCATCAACTGGTACCTGGATTAAACAGAATTGGTACATCTATTCAGTGGAATATTATTTGGCAACAAAAAGGAAGAACACATTGATAACATGCTATGGCATTTGTCAAAAACATGCTAGCTAAAAGAATCCAGGTACAAAAGAATCTATTTGTGTGAAACAGAAAAGGCAGCAAAGACACATCAGATGGAAAGACCAGTAGTCACCTGGGGCTGGGGTGGGTATGAGTTTTGTCTGATGACAGAAGTGTCCTGAGGTTAGCCTGGAGTAACAGCTGGAGAGCTCCAAGTTTACTAAAAGTAAACTGAACTGTACACTTAAACAAAGTGAAAGTTATGGTATATAAATGATAAAACTGTTAAAAATCTAGGCAGTTACTTGAAACCCACAAAAACCCCACAACTATATTAAGCATTACTGCTCTTGTTTTCAAAGTTAAAAATGAGCCATCTATTGAGGTGCACACCTGAAATCCCAGCACTTGGGAGGCTGAGGCAGGAGGACTGTGAGTTTGAGTCCAGCCTAGGCTTAGTCTAAGGCTAGCCGGGGCTACACAGTTAGAACCTGTCATAAAATAATTAAGTAATTAATTTTTCAAAAGCTAAAAAACAAAGCTGGGGATTTAGCTCAGTGGTACCTTGCCCGCCTCACAAGCATAAGGTCCTGAGTCTGATCCCTGGTACCAAAAAATGAAAAAAAGAAAGAAAGAATCTAAAAAATAAGTCCTCGGGAGACTGAGACAAGAGGGTCACTGTGAGTTCAATGGGTACATAGTGAGACCCTGACATAAAAAAAATAAAAGTTGAGGGGCCGGGAATTTAGCTCAGTGGTTCCACTGCCTGCCTTGCAAGCACAAGGTCCTGAGTTCAATCCCCAATACCAAAAATAAATAAATAAAAGTTGAGCCGGGGATTTAGCTCAGTGGTGTCACTACCTGCTTCACAAGTACAAGGTCCTGAGTTCGATCCCTGGTACCGAAAGCCAAAAACATACCAATTATTGGAGTGTGTAAGAGATAATAACTTCTTACCATGCTCTGAAGAATTTTCAGTGCTTCTTCTTTCCCTTCAAGTTGTCTTTGAGATGCTTCAAGTTCAGTTTTTAAAATTTCTACCTCCTGCGGACAGAAATAAAATTAGTCTTTCTATCTGCAAGATAATGCACTCCCCAAATTATCAGTTTGGCCGGCCCATTTACCATTGGTTGTGAATTCCTCTTTTGATTTTGTAAATTTTGTAAATAAACCAGTCAGGCTGAAGTTGAGAGTAGGATTCTAATTAAAAACCCAAAGCTTTTGCTTCTACATGTTCAAGCCATGAGACTAATATGCAAAAAATATCTTCAGGCCACATAAAATAAGCACGAGGCCAACTAGACTGTTACAGTAACTGCTGTGGTGTTGACTGTGTCCCCCACCCCAACTGTGAACGCGGCCTTATTTGGAAAAGGGTCTTAGCAGACATGTTTATAAAAAAATAAGAACTGTAGGCAATTTAAATGTAACAGTTTAACTGAGCAAAGAATGATTTGCATATTGGGCACTTTGTGGACTGGAAGAGGCTTAGAGCCCCACTGTGCAAGCCACATTTATAGACATAAAACAGAAGTATCGGGATTGGTAGTTACACCTCAGCCTTCACGGTATTCGGCACCAGTGTGATCAGCCACACATGCTCTGATTGGCTGAGACTTAAGTGGTTATTACAAAAAAAATAAAAACAAAAACTCCTAAATCCAGCGTTGCATGTTTATGTGCTAAATTACATAGAGACTGCAGCTATGCAGGCAGCCTGGGTACTGGCCAATTTAGAATCATTTAACAGAAGCAATCAAGTCAGGATGAGGTCATGATGGTTAGGGTTGGCTCCAATCCAATGAGTGAAGTCTTTTTTTTTTTTTTTCCTGGTACCAGGATTGCACTTTGGTCCTTGCACTTGCAAATCAGGCACTGTAACCACTGAGCTAAATCCCCGGCCCTTTTTTTTTTGGTTTTTTGAGACAGGGTCTCACTGTGTAGTTGAGACTGACCTGGCACTCACTATGTAGCCCAGGCTGGTCTCAAACTCATAGCGATCCTCCAGCCTCAGCCTCCCAAGTGCTGGGATTACAGGCGTGCACCACCACGCCCAGCTGACTGACGTCTTTATTTTATTTGCATATTTAATTTTAGCTGTGGCTAAGTTTATTTGAAAAAGTAAAAGTGAAGAGTGAGACAAATTGGCTCTGCGGAGCAAGCTAGGATTGAATCAAAGAGGACAAAGCGAGATAAAAATACACCCTGAAGTCTGTGAGGAAAGTCATGATGGCCCAATGACTGGAGTCTACACAATTAGGGACATTTCTGAGGAGCGACACTCAGTGGAGAAAGCTATGAGAGACAGGGGCAGAGACAGGATTTTGCTGCTACCAGCCAAGGGCTGAGCACCAAGGGCTGCAGCAACCACTGAAAGCACCAAGAGGCACACAGGGGTTCGCCTCTGGAGCCTCTGGAAGAAGCAAGGCCCACCCAAACCTAGATTCAAGTTTGTGGCCTCCAGAACTGAGAGGCAGTAATTTCTGCCGTTTTAAACCACCAGTTTGTGGTACTTTGTCAACAGTCATTTGGACAAGAAAAGTCACAAACACACCAAGGCGGGCTTCCTGTTTCCCAAAGGAGGGAGCTACACGCCCACCCAGGCTCAGGCCTCAGACCCTCCCAGGGAGGACATCTAACATCGGGGAGCGGAGGAGGGCAGAGGAGCAGGTCAAAGGCGAGCAGAAGACACAAAACAGGGCATGATGATACAGCACCCTTTCAAAAGATGGGGTGCATGAGAAACAGGAGGGCTGAAAAGACAGAGGGTGAGTGACGGTTCAGAGGCTGGACTCAGGCCCAACACCCCAGGTAATCCCCAGCACCTAACAAAGAAAACAGAATATCTGGAAAGCCAGTATTTACAATTTGGTATGATTTAAACAAAGTTTCCATTAGCAGACTTTATTCACATGAGACTTTATATATTAGCCAGAGGACATACCTCTAAGGTTTCTTGAAGACGTTGCCTTAGTTCTTCATTTGACAGTTCTGAATTAGACTCTATTAAGGGGAAAAAAAAACCCTTCAATATTTTCTTTAGTTAAATAGAGGACATCTGTTTACAAAATATTAAATACAGGCTTTTTGCTGGGCATGATGGTGGTTCACACCTATAATCCCAGCACTTGGGAGGCTGAGGCAGGAGGATCATTTTGAATTCAAGGTCAGCCTGCACTACATAGTGAGTTCAAAGCCTGCCTGTGCTACATAGTAAGACCCTATCTCAAACAAAACAAAACAAAAGCAAAAAACAGGTTTTCTCTAAATTACAAAAAGAACACTATTGTAATAAACCAGCTAATAATAATAATAAGCTTAAAACATTTCATAACTGGGTGTGAAAGTACATACCTGTAATCCTAGCCCTCTGGGAGGCTGAGGCAGGAGGATTACAAACTCAAGCCTAGCCTGGGCAATTTAGCAATTTAGCAAGACCCAAAATGAAAAAAATAATAACAATAAAAAATGGGCTAAAGCTGGGTGTGGTGGCGCGCACCTGTAATCCCAGCACTTGGGAGGCTGAGGCAGGAGGATCACTAGGAGTTTGAGACCAGCCTGGGCTACATAGTGAGTTCTAGAGCAGTCTGAACTACATAGTGAGACCCTGTCTCAAAACAAAACAAAACAAAACAAAAAATGGGCTGGAGAAAAAAGGGGGCTGAGGATATAGCTTAGTATAAAGAACCTGGACTCAGTTCCCAACATACGTACATACATATAGATAGATAGATAGATAGATAGCAACTTTTGAACGAAAGGACGTCTAAAAAAGTACTCTAATACATAAAATTTATGTTGGAATTTGTTAGTTTCTATATCAAAAAAATAAATGTATAGAAAAAATATGAATATTGGTGAGTGAAATAAATAGGTGTTGGTGTTTGGCTTAAGCTTGATCAGTGCAGTAATATGGCAAAGAAATAAATCTGAATCTAACTTCTTTCTGAGGAGAATAACTGACTAGCCATCTCCTGTGACTTCATTCTCCCTTCACTACAATCAACCAAGAAATGCAACTGAGCTTTGTAAGAGCTGCATTTTCATTTCCATCTCACTGGCAAGAAAACGTATGAAGGTGATAAATTATAAGCAAGAATATAAGAAGTAGTAAAAGGAAGAAAAAGTAATTTCAGAAGGAATAATTTGAGGGACATTCTTCAGAGCAATTTTTCTTCGCAGTTGTGAACGAAAGTTCAACATGACAGCAGGCAGGCAAAAGCTAATTGTGTTTTCACTGTGACAACACAGGTTTCCAAAGGAGGATGCAGTGACACTGGGTTGGCAATGACAAGTTCTGTTCTAGTACTGTTTGTGGCTACCAGGAAAAATGCACCCAGAGATGCCCACATCCTCATCCCCAGACCCATGAAGCCATGGCCAAAGGGACCAACTGAGTGGATGCCATGAGAGACGGAGATGTGGATTTTGCGGCTTAGCCAGGCGGCTTTGGCTCACTCAGAAAGTCCTTATAAAGGCAAGACAGAGGCCAGGAGTCCCCAATGGCGTGACATGACAGCATGCAGCCCAGGCAGCCCTGCAGTTCAAGGAGGGCGCGCGTGCCTCAGCCTCTATCAGAGCAGCCCTGCCCACACCTGGGTGTTGGCCCAGTGAAATCTGTTTGGTCCTCAGGCCTGCAGAACTGCAAGTTAATAAATCTACCGTACATTGTTTCAAGCCACTTCCTGCGGTGGTTCGGAAGTTAGGTGTTAGTGACAACAAATTCCTCAGGGGCTGGGGTAGAGGGGTAGAGCTCCGTGCCATAGTGTGAGCTTGGATTCAAACTGCAGTGCAAGAAGGGAAAGCAGGAAGCTGGGGATTTGGCTCAGTGATTCCACCTGCCTTGCAAGAGCAAGGGCCAGAGTTCGATCCCCAGTACTGCCCCCAACCCCAAAAAGAAGGGAAAGCAGAAAGGAAAAAAATTACACTGACCGAGGATCAGTTCAACTCTGACAAAAAGAAGAGTCTCGGGCCTGGGATTTAGCACTGTAGTTCCAACGCTTGAGTTCCACCCCCGGTACCAAAAAAAAAAAGAAAGAAAGAAAAGAGGCTCAGACTTCCTGTTAAACCTAGCTTATATCCCAGCAGCTTCCTCATGCTTTTACAAAGACAGCCTAGCACCATGTTCAATTTTCAGTACCTTGTTTGCCAAACAATATCCATCCTCTATGCATTAAAAAGGAATTAGAAAAAAAAATACAAATGGCCCATCTTAATTTTGAGATTTCGAAGGCTAGTACGACTTTTTATAAATTGAAATCATTTTTTTTTCTTTCTTGCAGTACTGGGGATCAAACCTAGGCCCTCATACCACACGCTAGGCATTTCTCTGAGCTACAACTCTTAACCGTGAAATCTCTCTCCCCCACACCTCCTCTGCTCTCCTCTCCTCTCTTCCCCGCTTCCCTCCCTCCCCCTCTCCTCTGAGCCCAGGTGGTTCACAGCTAGCTGCAGCCCTCTGAATTTTTATTTAGGGACAGGGTCTTGATAAGGTGTCCAAACTGGTCTCAAATCTGCTGTCCTTAGGCTCCAGGGGAGCTGAGATTATGGGCATGGCCACACCCCCGCCTGGATTGTTATTTCCTACTGGTTTTGTTGTTTGTTTTTTTTTAATTTGTTCGTTTTTCCTGAATATCTTGGATCTACAGGTCTTGAATTTAAGGATGCAGAACCCGTGGGTTAGGAGGCCAACTGTATTTTCATGTTGTTTTAACTTGTGAGGTGGGTACGGTTTCAGGTGGGGAAGTTATCCAACATGGGTTACAGAGGACTGAGCAAGACCAGAGCTGCCGCAGTGCAGACAGGGACTCACCCTTGGACTCCCAATCCTTCTGGAGCTGTAACGTTCTATCCCAGTACGATTCCGAATTTATTCGTTTTTCTTATTTTGTTTTGACAAGTTTTGAGGATCCCAGACTACTCTAAAATAACCAGAAGCATCCGAGTTCTGCCTGGAACATCCTTTCTCCTCCCCACGTTGTGCAGGAGCTCACCTATCACCTTGTCCCACGCCCCCCACTGGCACACTCTTCTCCTGAGCACCGCCTGCTGCCGCTGTAGTGTATGTGCTGGTTTGTGAGTTTACCTCCTGCTGCTTGAATACAATGTGAAACACTTGAGCACCTCACCCTGTTGTGCTCACTTACGTTACTGCCAGAACCTAGACCAGTGCCCGGTACCTCATAGGACCCAGTAACTACCAATTGGTAAGAAAAAATAAATAAAGAATAAAACTACCCCCACAAAAGAGCAAGGTAAAAGCCAGCCGTGCTGGCACAGGCCTATAATCCCAGCCCTCTAAAACACAGAGGCAGGAGGATCACAAGTTTGAGCCCAGCATGAAGAACACAGGAACTTAGCAAGACCCTGTCTCAAAATAAAAAATAAATATATAAAATTAAAATAAATAAATAAAAGAAGAGCTAGGAATGTAGCTCAGTGTGAAGGCCCTGTGTTCAATCCCCAGGACTTAAAAAAAAAAAAAAAAAAGGTGGGCGATCACTGTTACCACTAACACACACACACACACACATTACATTAATAATGCAGAATAACTGTATTACGAACTGTAGTTCATAATTTTCACAAAGCTTCGAAATACAAACATCAATTAATTCTGCGCTATCATTGACTGCACTAATCTCAAAGGCGAGTGAGGATGAATTTCTGAACTCTACCTGTTTTCTGTTTGCTCTTGAGGGAAGGGTGACCAGAGCTTTGCATCCTTACCAGGGTTCCCTTCCTGACTACAGCTGGATGTTCTGGGCCTCTGGGGACTTGTGGTTTGCTGGCTCTTCTGCGGGAAATACTGGAAAACGGCCCCATTTCTTTCTTCCCCATCCCTTGGAGGTGGAGGAGGACTGAAGCTCTTCCCATCTGATCTTCTGGATGTACGTAAACGTGAGTCTTCCAGCTTGCAGAGGCTGCCAGGTGTCCGGCTGAGGCCGTAGCCCAGGTCGCCTTCCGTCATGTCATCCTCTTCTGGCTCCCAGATCTGCACCTCGGATGCACTCAGCGACCTCCCAACCTTGCTCATGAGCAAATGCTTGCTTCATCATAGGGAAAAACAGTAATTAAAACTCATCAGTAAATCCAGTGACCCTACTTCTGGGAATTTAAATGAATGAACAAACAACCAAATAAATAAATAAAAGTTGGAGCTCAGCCTGGGTGAGACCCTGTCTCAAAATAAAAAAAGAAAGGGCTGGGGATGTAGCCCCAGGCTCAAGCACCTGTCACACACACACACACACACACACACACGCAAACAATATAAAATACACATAAAACGAAATAGTATTCAGACTTTAAAACTAAAGATAGTTGTTAATTTTCCACAGCATAAATGAGGCTGGATAATATTAAGCAAGTGAAAGTAGTCAGGTATAGAAAGAATGTGCAGGACCACGGGGTCTCATCTGTATGTGGAATCCACAAAGAGAGAAGCAGAGCGGAATAAGAGTTACCAGAGGCTGGGAGGTGGGGGAAATGGACTGATGATGGTCCGAGGGCTCACAGCCCCGAGACAGGAAAAATCACATTTCTTCTCTTGAGAGATATTGCACCCACATGCCGTATATACTTAACAATAATGTATTGTACACTTCCAAATCACCAAGAGTAAAATGTCAAATGTTCTCATCTCAAAAATACCTTTGATGTGATGGATATGTAAGCTTACTTTATTCTATATTGTACTCATGAATCATTACATCATTTTGTACCTAATAAATATATAATCGCTTCTCGGCCTTCTGGCTAACATCAAGTATAGTACCCAATAAATATATACAACTATAGTTTGTTAGTTGACAACTGAAATTACAATCTTAAAAATATTAAAGTGAACTAAGTTTGGCCTAAAAGTTCTGCCCACATAGTGAATTATAATCTAACTTCCCCATAACTTGTTCTTGTAACAAGCAGCCAAGTCTCAGCCAATCACAACAGGTTCAGGGGCTGGGGCTTTAGCTCAGTGGCACCTTGTCTGCCTCACAAGTACAAAGTCCTAAGTTTGATCCCCGGTACCAGCCCCCCCCCAACCAAAACTAGTTTGGACAGCTGTAAAGTTTGTCCTAAGAACTTTGGGTCCAAGGATTTAGCTCAGTGGCACTGCACCTACGTTGCAAGTGCAAGGTCCTGAATTCGAAACCCAATTTTAAAAAAAAGGCTGGGGATTTAGCTCAGTGGTGCCGCTGTCTGCTTTGCAAGTGCAAGGTCCAGAGTATGATCCCCACTACCCAAAAAAAAAAAAAGCAGGTTCAAATAAGGCAAATAACAAACTTTAATGAGTCAGTTCTCTGGATACCTTCCTTACTCTTATTTGTCACTTCCTTTTTTTCTGACTAAAATACAACCTGCACATGTGTCAGGGCAGAGTGAGTGTTCTGAACCAGTTTTGATCCAGGCTGCTGCCCGATTCTAGAACCATAAAAGCCAGTTAAGATGATCTGTAAAACTAGATTTGTTGTAATTTTTTTCTTTTATCACAACACAACAAAACTGTGAGTGAAAATAGGTATATAATGACCTAACCTCAATCTGATAAAAGCCATTCATGACGAACCTACTTCCAATACCATATTAAATGGGGAAAAGCTGAAAGTTTTCCCCTTAAAATTAAGGACAAGACAAGGATGTCCATTATTATCACTTCTGTTCAATATAGTTCTTGAAACATTAGCCAGAGCAAGCAGGCAAGAGAAACAAAATATATATGTATAATAAAGGAAGAAGTTGAATTATGATCATTTGTAGATGACATGATCCCTACAATAAAGACCCCCAAAAATTCCACTAAAAAACTGCTAAGAATTTAATAACCAAATTCAGCAATGTAACAGGGTATAAAATCAATATACAAAAATCAACAGCACTCCTAAACATCAATAATGAACTCACTAAGAAAGATATTATGAAAACAAAATTCAAAATAGTATCAAGAAAAATTAAATACTTAGGAGTTAACCTAACCAAGGAAGCGAAAGACTGCTACACAAAGCAGAGTACTGCACTCTGATAAAGGAAATTGAGGAGGACGTCAGAAAATGGAAAGATGTCCCCTGATCCTGGATAGGCAGAACCACTATTACTGTTAAACCACACTTCCAGAACCAATAAACAGATTTAATGCAGTCCCAATCCATATACCAACAGCATTCCTCACAGAACCAGAGAAAACAAACCTAAAATTCATACGGAGCCAGAAGAGACCCAGAATAGCAAAAAGTAATTCTGGGCAACAAGAGCAAAGCAGGAGGCACTGCAATCCCAGACTTCAGGTAATACTACAAAGCTACAGTGATAAAAACAGCATAATACTGGCACAAAAGCAAGCATGTGGATCAGTGGAACAGAACAGAGCAGGAAGAAACAACCCCAGGCACATTCAGCTATCTGATTTTTGACAAAGGGGCCAAAAAAATATCCTGGAGGAAAGACAGCCTCTTTAATAAATAATGTTGGGAAAATTGGTTTTCCACATGCAGAAGATTGTCTAGACCAGTGTCTCTCACCTTGTGCTAAACTAAAATCAAAATCAATCAAAGATCTAAATGTAAGACAGAAATAGTTAATCTGCTGGAAGATAAAATAGGTAAAACTCTTGAAGACATACACATAGGCAAGGACTTTCTGAACAAAACCCCAATTACATAAGAAATACCATCAATGTATGTATGTATGTATGATGGTGCAGACCTGAAATCTCAGCACTCAGGAGACTGAAGCAGAAGGATCGCCACCAGTTTGAGGGCAGCTGGCCTATAGAGTAAGACCCTGGCTCAAAAATAAAAAAAAAAACAAAAAAGAAATAACATTAAGAATCAACAGCACTCAGGAGGCTGAGGCAGGAGGATCGCTGTGAGTTCGAGACCAGCCTGAGCTACATAGTGAGTTTCAGGTCAGTCTCAACTACATAGTGAGACCTTGTCTCAAAACAAACAAACAAACAAACAAACAAAAAAAGAATCAACAAATGGAAGCTGGGGATTTAGTTCAGTGGTTCCACCACCTGCCTCGCAAGTGTGAGGTCCTGAGTTCGATTTCTGTTACCAAAACAAAATTTAAAAATGACAAAAAATAAAAACAAGCAACAAATGGGATCATATCAAAGTAAAAGGATTCTCTGTACAGCAAAGGAAAAAACCAGCAGAACAGAGAGACAACCTACAGAATGGGAAAATTTTTTGCCAGCTACTCCTCGAGCAAAGGACTAATATCTAGAATATACCTATGATCCCACCACTCTGAAGTCTGAGGGAGAAGGATCACCATGAGTTGAAGGCCAGCCTGAACTACATAACTGAGATCCTGTCTCAAGAAGAAGAAGAAGAATATATGAATAAAAAAATTAGATCCCCTAAAAGACCCAATCAAAAACTGGACAAGTGAAATGAAATAGACACTCCTCTGAATAAGTATGAACAGTCAAAAAATACATGAAAAAATGTTCTACACTTCTGGTCATTAGAGAAACTCAAATTAAAACAACACTGAGATTCCATCCTACCCTAGAAAGAATGGCAGTTATCAAAGAATCAAATAATAACAAAGGCTGGTGAGGCTGTTTTGAAACAATATGCCTTTTACATGGTTGCTGGGAATGTGAACTAGTAAACTACTATGGAAGTCAGTATGGAGATTACTCAAAACACTAACATTGGGGATTCTATTTGACCCAGCTATTGTCCTCTCAGGTATCTTCCTGAAAGAATGAAAATAATCATATTACAGTGATACATGCCTACCCATGCTTATAGCAGCACAATTCATAACAGCTAAATCTTGGAAGCAGCCTATTGTTCAGCAGATGAATGGATAAAGAAAACGTGGTATTTATACGCAGTGGAATACTACTCTGCCGTAAAGGAAAAACTTGAGTCATTTGTAGAAAAATTGATGCACTTTGAGGTCATAATGCTCAGTGAAATAAATCAGACACAGAAGCTTAACTATGCCATGGTTTCTCTTACATGGGAAACTCAAAATATAAATAAAGAGTAAATTTAAAGATAGGATAATAGGAAATAGGGAGATAGGTCTTTATGAAAAGGAAGGGGGGATTAGCTCAGTGGTACCACGCCTGCCTCACCAGTGTATGGTCCTGAGTTCGATCCCGAGAATCAAAAAAAAAGGAAGGGGGTCAAGAGATGGTCCATCTTCTATTTCTGTACAGATCAACTAGCAGAGGTTTTGTATTTGGGACAGTGAATTGGTGGGAAGGAGGATATCCCTGTTCCTTCTGCTCCTTTCTATTGCAGATCCTGTGTTCAGAGCCCTGGCCACACTTCTCCCGTGGGCCTGGACTGCTTGCGCCTTGGATACCTGCCCACTGGCTCCTGCCCACTTCAGTGTCCCCTTGCAGGGGCCTTCCTGGAACACACCTGGCACCAGCCCCTCTCTATCACACCACCCTCTGCTTATTCTTGCAGCACCTAAGGCCTTCTCACATACGCCTCCACATTTCACTTATTTTTCAAATGATGCCCCTGAAATCAGGGCCAATAAAAAGAGGAAGCAAATACAAAGGAGGGAGCCAAGCACAGCAGAGACTCAGGGTTTTTTTCCTCCCTCTCTCTTCTTGACGTTTATTTTTTCAATTTCTAAAATGTGTATTAGTACATGTCTGCAGTACATAAAGATAACATCCTCATGGGGAGCTGGTGCAGCACCCCCCCATCTATGTGCTACACTGGGGGTCTCTGCGGTGTGCGACGGACACCTGGAGTCTCCCACAAAGCCCAGGCCTGCTCCCCAGACTGCGAGGAGGGCAGCACAGTCAGGCGAGCAGTTCTGTCTGGTTCATCGCTATTCCAGGACCTACACCAGTACCTGGAACACAGCCCATGCTCAATAAAGGTTTGCTTAATAAATGAATAAAAGAAGGAAGAACAAAATAAAAATACTGAAATACCCACCTCCAGGGCAGAATGCAAAGTAGTCACCTGAACAAGGCTGCACAGTAGGCCATCTGGGTTTCTGCCTGCTGGAGACCACCTCAGCCACCCCACTGGGGACGGGCAGAAACACACAACTTTGTTCCTCCAGT